CACTTCCTGATTTCAAACTATACTACAAAGCTACAGTAATTAAAATAGTATAGCACTGGCATAAATATAGAACATGGACCAATGGAACAGAATAGAGAGCCCAGAAATAAACCCCTGCATAAGGGTCAACTAATATTTGAAAGAGATTCAAGAAAATTCAATGAGAAAAGGACCGTTCCTTCAAATGGAGCTAGGAAAACTGGATAACCACATACAGAAAAATGAAATTGGACCCTATCTCACATTGGTCACAAAAAATAAGTCAAGATTGATTGCTTAAACATAAGACACCATAAAACTCCTAGAAGAAAACACAGGGGGAAGCTCCTTGCCATTGGTCTTGGCAATGATTTCTTGAAGATGACACCAAAAGTGTAAGCAACAGAGGCAAAAATCAACAGTGGGACTACATCAAACTAGAGTTCTTGCACAGCAAAATAAACAAAAAAATTAAAAGGCAATCGATAGGAGAAAATATTTGCAAACCATATATGGATAAGGGGTTAATATTCAAAATATATAAAGATCTTACACAGTCAATAACAAAATACCAAACAATCCAATTTAAAAAATGGGCAAGAAACCAAATAGATTTTTCCAAAGAAGGTATCCAAATGACCTACAGGTACATAAAAAGATACTCAACATCACTAATCATCAGGAAAATGTGAATCAAAACCACATGAGATATCACCTCACACCTGTTAGAATGCCTATCATCAAAAAGACAAGGGTGAGTGTTGGCCAGGATGTAAAGAAAAGAGAACCCTTGTGCACTGTTGGAGATACTGCAAATTGGTGTGGCCTCTCTGAAAAACAGTATGGAGGTTCCAAAAAAAATTAAAAATACAACTGCCATATAATCCAGCAATCCCACTTCTGGGTATATATCCATGAGCTGTGTTCTAGCAGCGGGTAACTTGCCCCACCCAGCAAGGCATACTTGAACCAGGAGATGTGCGAAGTTTTCAGGGCCCTGTGCAGCCCTGGGCCCAGGAACAGAAGCCAAGGTTTTTTTGCAGACTTGTCCTCAGCTCCTGGACGTATAATCCAGGCCTCCCTGGGCTGCCTTAATGTACTACTGCCCCAGCTACTGGGGAGCTTGTGGGCTATGCCCAGGCCTGGCCCCCAGTCTTCGAGAGAGCCTCAGGCCGGTAGCAACAGCCCGATCTCCCAAGGCCAGGGGCCCTGGATCCAAAGCAGACTCGCACCCTGTGGCCCACCTATCGGCTAGTACGGCCTAACTCAGCTGTGGCTGGCCTGGCCTCCCCTGCTGCCCCATCTGCGTGGCATCCCAGCCTCACCCCTAACTTGTCCTGGGACATTCTATCCATGTCCATAAGTTTGCCTTCAGTAAATTCCTCTAGCTGTATATCTAGAGTCTTTTAAATGGCAAATGAAGACACTATCAATATCCCATGATCAGCTATTTCAAATTTCACTATCAATATCACGACTGTTCATTTCTTTGCCGGCAATTCCCTCTTTCCATGATCTTTTTTTGTTAAATCTCACGAGGTCTATCACTGGGGTCAAGGAGTCAACAGCACCATGCAGTTTGCTATCTGAACTGAATGTGCTATGACCAATCACCAACAGGCTTAGAAAGAAGTGACGTGATTGGTCACAGACCACGACATACATTTGATATTTATATAATAATTTTTGGACTGAGGATCTAGCAGTTTGCACTTTATGGAATTATAATTAACATACCATGAGAACTGAAATTCGAACCTCTTTGTTAGAGGATTGGCGTTATTTAGCTAAACTATGGTAACTGAAGTCTCTGCATATCAGAACCAAGCAAACTGAGGACTCCTGCACACCAATAGCATTATCCAGGCACTTTTAAAACTTGATCTACACATATCCTGGGGGGGAAATAAAAAAGTGACTTCATGTTTCCAAAAGGAAAGTATTAACCAAGTGAAGTACACAATAGTAGAGACAACAGAGGGTAGAAATGACAAGAGCCTGGCTGTGAACAAACGGTGCTACAGGGCTGTTCATCTCAGGCAAGATGCTCAGGGTCTGTGTGCCTCTGTATATGGGGGTAATAACAATACCTCCCTCACGGGGTTAAGAATTAAATGAATAATTTATGTCAGAGGATGAGAACAGTACCTAGAGCATTGGAAACACTCAAAACACTAGCTACTGTTATTACTAAATGAAGAAAAATCTACATGACCCGAGAAGATGGTGTCCCCAGGTAGAAAAGCCTCTCATGCCTCCTGCCTTACTCTTCATGTAATTTTCTACTAGATCTGCCTGCCACCTCTTTAAGAGTATTGGCAAATTTGAGGGAACTGTGGGGGCA